CACAAAAAAAAAAAAAAAAAAAAAAAAAAAAAAAAAGAAATGCAAGGCATGAAACAGCATGCGTACAAAAATAAAGCTGTCACATATGTTACAAATGAAGTAAGCAGGAATGAAGCCATGGTGGGACCTAAAACCACATGGTCTCTAAAAGATTTTAAAAGGACACAGGTGTTTTCTTGGCATGCATTTCTCTGAGTTCCCTTTTTTCTCATGGTTATTTGATGTTTTGACCATGGTTATAGGGAAAGATGAGATTATTTACACAGTGTAAAGTTGTTTTCCAGCCAGCCTGGAGCAGCAGGCTTGCACATACTATCCAGACCTTGGGCAACCAAGGAAGACATCAATAAAGCTATTCTGATTCCATCCCTCCAGCAGGACCTGAGACAATAACAAGGATAGGAGCAGAAACCAGATGGAACCTTGGGGAGACCTTGCACCTGGCTCCTTGCACGCAACCCCTGTGGCTCACATCCTCCTCCCTTCTGCTTTTCACTTCCCACCTTCCATTCCCTCAATCCACTCTTTAAAAACTCCTCAGTAAATCTGAGTCTGTGAGATGGCTTTAGTCTGGCCATCCTCCTTCAGGTGTACCTGAGAGATCCTTTAGCTCAGGTCACCAGTATTCCTGAATAAAAGCTGACTTCCATTTTCATCAACATTTGAATTTTGAGTGGCTTGTTTTTGAAAGGGGGAAGGCAGCTGGACTTGTGTCAGGTAACAATATGACTCAAAAACACCCAGCGATAAATCTCCTGTGATTACATGATCACAATTTTCAGAACAGATGATCAATAAAATATTTTACTAACATCTGTATTTTGGGGTTTAATTTATGTGCAGCCTTGAATTTCATTTGCTAAATGTGAACTCACAACTGTTCTTATTTGTTCTCCTTTATACCTTTACTTTATAAATAAAAAATTTCATGGAAAATATGTAGTTAAATAAAAAAAAAGAAACAAATACAATTAAGTTGCCAACATTTCATTAATGTGATTTTAAGAAAAAGAACTACAAAAATAAAGACACACATTCCCTCTCTCTCTCTCTCTCTTTCACTCTCTCAGCACTATCAATTGATTAATTTTAATTTTTCTTCTTTAATCAAATATTTTACCTTGAAATGCAGCCGATGGATACTGAGGGGGATGCCCAGCTGGCAATTTTTTTCCTGGGTGAGAAGCATTCGCTTGCATGTCTGCAATTCAAGGAGAGGTAAATACATGTCTGCTTAAATAAAATATCTACTTAAAAAAAAATACATTGTCCTTAGATACTTTTCACTTATGTGGTTTTATACTGTGGTGAAATAGGTAAACTATATTCTTCACTCAACATTAGCTGTACCTGCTATCAGAGCTAACTTGTGGTATAATCCTGTTTCAAACAAATTCCCTGTTAAATAAAATGAGACAGCCCTTGAGTTACTGGGGCTGAATTCCTAATTTTTCAAATATGCCTGATAAGTATTCAGTTCCATTCTTTTATTTTGTTGGTATTAGAAAAAAGATAGTTTCAAAACCACATACGCACTATGAAGAGATAAGTGAAACTCGGACGTGCGAATGTTTATGATAGGATTGTGGGTGATTTTAAAGATAACTTTAATCATTGCTGTAAAAGTGATTTTTAAAAATATTTAAAATAATGCATATACTTCAATAGTTAGTTATATTTTTATTCTTATTCTGGAATTATACTAATAATGTTGAACCATATGAAATTTCCAAAATATAACTGATTTTAACTATAAAAATCCTACCATTTAGTTACAACAAGCGTACACATTAAACTTAGTTATCTGTAATTAACATGGCTTGAAAAATCTTAATGTATGCACAAATAGTACAACCTCCTATTTCTTCATATTGATGCCTCTCCAGTCATTCATTTATCCACCCCAGCCAGTCAACATTTACTGAGCAACTCCTGTGTCGCCCTTGGTTAGGCTTGGGGGCTGCAGAGGCTCTGCCTCCATAGAACTTATGGTCTAGTAGACATTACACTTAGATTATCTTCTCCTCTGGTTACTTATGGGTGTCCAACTGTAAATTCAAAGTTGTTTGTTTTTGACTCATGGAGACATGGCATCAATACAGAACAATACACAAGGGAACTTCAAAAAGTTTGTGGAAGGTAAAATTGAAAGATGATTCGAATCTTTCCCTGAGATTTTTGAAGACCCCTAGTGTTGGCCCAACTTTTCAAATGAATAGCAGGTATTCAAGTACACCAAAGAGCATATGAATTACAGGTTGATTTCTGCATTTGTGAAATGCAATTTAAAACAGCTTATAAAAATCATAGGACTATCACATTGTCTTGAAGATATTTTTACTTCTCTATATAAGTACATTACATATGCACACATTATATACATGTGTATTCATACACATATACATAATTTATTTCTATTTATGCACATACATACATAGACACATACAATTATATATACAAAACAAAAGAGTTAAAAGGTGACCAATGACTATAGCCAAATGGTTATTTCTAAACTAAATTAAAGCATTTTCAAGGTCGTAGCAAATAAAACTGCTTAATTTTATATAAATTTACATTAAAAAATCTTTAGTTGAGATTTATAAATAAAATTAAATCAATATAGCAGTCATTAAGAGAATATCACAAAACTTCAAATGAGAAAAGCAAGAGGCCTGATCCTGCAAATTATCTAATATATCTAGAAGGCTGACATGGTAGTGAAGGATAATTTTTGTTGCTGTTATCTCAACAAAGATAAAAGAGAAAATCAAGATCATTTCAGAAAAACAGGATTTGATTTTTGATATTTTCCCTGATATGTAGTGTTTTTCTCTTCAGAACCTTAAAATTTTCGTAAGACAAAGTTTTTCATTACATGCTTGATAAATGCCCATCTTATTTAGAATTTTCTTGAGTGAAAAAAAGCAAAAGCCAGAACATAATGATTGGTATTATTTAAACCTATACACATGTGTATGTTGTGAAATATACATCAGGGTGTATATCTAAGGATTTTATTATACTAAACTGACATTAAATTCATTATCTGTTAATTAGTACTACTTGAATAATATTTATGTATATAAAATGCACAGAGAAAAGATAAAATGGAATGGATGGAATACATTTCCCAATAAGCCTAAAATTTCTATACTTTCTCTAAGGCTTTCTTATTTTTAATAAAAAAATAGTGTTACTGGATGTTTGTGTACATCTTCTCAATAGTCAAAATACTGAACTAGACATTGGATTCTGGAGCATAAACACTATATATATATATATTTTTTTGAAACTGAATGAAACAGGACAAATAAGCTAACAACAAATTTAATATTATACAGATAAAAGTAAACAGTTAAATTACTTACTTTGTTCATCCATGAT